TCTCCAGTTTTAAAGGATATTTTTGGTTACTGTCCTATAGTATACATTGGAATGATTTAAAACCTGTTTATCCCAATAATTATAAAGGAGTGCCTTGGAAATATGTGTTTACATAAATTGTGACCAAACCGTTTGAACTTAGACTGAGAGTCCTCACCTCACTGAGCTGTAGTTAACTTATCAGCCTCTCAGTCTGACTGGAGAGGACTCTCACTCCACATTATTGTAGAAACATCTTCTTCTTATCTCCGTTAGAGCAGCTAGCACGGCACCAGATTATAATAACAACAGCGCTGGTACCGGTGCACCCTCCCTCTCTCCCTCTCTCCCTCGCATTTGGCTGTGAGCTGCGGGCGCCAGATAAGCCAACATCCCCCATTTTCATCACTTACAGCGCCCATCGTACAGGGCAAATGAAACGTGTAACCGGGGTGAAAAGGGTGTTACATTTACTTAATTATGAATATTGTTACATCAAGGCCGAAAATTAGGATGAGCCCCAACGGTCAAAATGTTTTTTTCCCTCCCAGAACTGCCAGCGCAGCAACTCCCCAGATCTGGCGCCCTAGGCGAACATCTAGCCAGCGCTACGGGCCGGCCCTGAGTTCATATCATGGTTCATATGCAACTCGCAAATATCTCTCTCTCTCTTTCTCTCTTCTCTCTCTCATCTCTCCTCTCTTTTCTCTTTTCCCTTCTCTCTCTCCCTCTCTCAATGTTGGTACGCAAATGCGCTTTGTTTCAAATGACCCGGTGCTCTTTTTTTGGCGGAGGTGCGTAATATGCGCACCTGCGCACCAGTTATGTGCAGCCCTGCCTATTATACTGTTTTTCATCAATAGCCTTCATTGCCTTCAGATCATTGCAGCATCCCATAACCGCCCGTTTCAAAAGTGCTGTTTGGAAAAGTACATAAATTATATTTTCATTTAAATAATGTACTTTCTATACCCTGCTTCATAAACAATACTGACATCCCTGTGCTCCTCCGAGTCTGTCTCACAGTCCAGGGATGTGAGGACAGCGCGAGGACACAGACAAGGAGGCTGCTTCACTTCATAAAGGAAATGGCGGTCAATATTAACAGCATAGGAGCTAAAACGCTTAATTACGTGTTAGAGAAAGTCAAAGATCATAAGAAAGGTTGACAAAGATGAGGCTGTTAAATGGGAAGCGGAGCCGCAGTGTGTAGAAAGAGACAGAGATAGAGAGAGACTGAGCTGCACAGTGCAGCCATCAGCTGATCCGGAGCAGAGAGAGAGCTGCGGTCATCCTGTCCTCACAACTCTTATAAATCCGGGTACTGGACAATTGTTATTTGTTCTTACTCTGTACCTGGTTTTGCTTCCCAAACCTGCCACTGTGCTCGTTACACGCCCCGCCCCGTCTAACAGTACAGAAAGGGGCGAGATGCATTTCCTTAGTTTCGGTTCTGCTTATCGATTCCTAACATTTCTAAACTATGGAATCGAAATGTTGGAACCGGATTTCGGTACCCAACCCTACTAATGCCCCCCAGTGCAGTCCAGAAGACCTGGCAGAACCTACCCCATCAGCTGTGGCCTGTGCCCGATACTGGCAGAACGACATCTGAGATTGCTACGGACTCGAAGAAGAGTGGCGGCTTCAACCCTCTACAGTTTTCTCCCGACAGCAAGGACTCTTCAGCTGCTGGGATGCATGTTCCTCGGATGAACTTCTTTACTGAGAAAGCTGCCAAACTGGCTCAGGAACGACATGCAGCTCCAGTACAACTCACCTTGGCCTTACAGTAAATAGGTTTATCAACTGTTTGCAGTGCATTAACCCTTGCTTGGTGCTCGGGTCAAATTGACCCGATTTCCATTTTCAATGAATAAAAAAAAATATAAGGATATTTTCGTTCAACCTGAAACGCAATGGCCGGGGCTTATTTATTGTGAAGGACATGTGGAATTGTTTTAATTTTTTCCACTTGTGATAAAATGCCCACCCGCATTTATGTCCTTCATAAGAGGTTCGGGTCAATCTGACCCGGATACAATACCAGGCAGGGCCGGACTGGGACAATAAATCAGGCCGGGAATTATACACCCAGCCAGGCCACTACCAGTTTTCTTTTGTGCCATTTTCCTGGATTTATTTGTCAATATTTACAGCGTTGCTGCCCATAGTGATAGCCCTAAACTTTAAATCTACTACCCCAGAATAAACATATGGACATGGGTCAATATTTAAAAAAAAAATTGCAAATCTATTTAGGAACCTATCCATGTGAACATATTTTAAGTGGAGGTGGACCTGAAATCCTCTAGGGGGGTCTGGGGGCATGCTCCCCCGGGAAGATTTTTTTTTAAATGTTGGACTTAAATGCATCAATCTGGTGCATTTTGAGGGGGAAATAAAGAGACTACACCCATATGAAACAGAACTGTACACATTTAAATAATCATAAAATCTTAAGAACATGGCCATAACCAATGACATATGACAATATGAAAAACATTGAAACTTATTTAATTTTTTTTGGTTCATTTATAGTTGTGAGTGTGTCCTGTCTCCCCCCTCTCCCCCCTGCTCCTCTTTGGCAGCAGCAAAGACTAGTTTTAGCTCTCAATACGTTTTTAAAGTTTATCTTACCTTTTTTCACCTAGTTAACATTTTTTTTTTTATTATTCATGCATATTTTACTAATCACTCCCCCTTCAAATGAAAATATGTGTTTACATAAATGGTGACCAAATCGTTTGAGACCCACAGAGAACTTAGACTAAGTTAACTATCTAAACACTCAGAGTCCTTTACCTCACCTGAGCTGTAGTTATCAGTCTCTCAGTCTGACAGCAGAGGAATCCTCCACCTTGTCGACAGCTCATTATATCCGTTAGCGCAGCTAGCTAGCACCAGATGCTAACAACAACACTACAGGTAACCGGTGCGCGCGCTTTCTCGCTCGCTCGCGCCACACATACCCTCCCGAGCTTGAATGACACACAGAGACCAATCGAGGGCATTCGTGTATGATCTGTATGAAAGTGGCCATGTCGACAGGCCACATCATGTAGATAGCCAGTCACCCTCTGTGAGGCAGAGTCAGACCCACATTTGCACAGCGTTACGTTCACAATACATACATAACAAATTTCCCAGCAGGCCACTTAACAGGCCAGGCCATCGGGAAACCTCCCGGTCCTCCCGATGGCCAGTCCGGGCCTGATACCAGGACAGACAGACAGAGAAAAACACACAGAAAACACACAAACTAAAGACACACACACACACACACCACACACACACACACACACACACACACACACACACACACACACAGAAACACAGAAACACACAAACTAAAGACACACACACACACACACACACAATCGTATGCACAGAGAAGCTGTTTGATCCTGTTTTCCCTTGATCTTTACTCTTTGTAGTGTGTACACAAAACTATCCTAGAACATTATAAACATTTTAGATCTTCCAGAAATGTATACACATTTTATATGTTCAGGCACTGTCCCCCCTCGCACCTGCACGCCGGAGGAGGGACTAAACAGAGACATAACCTCACATTACAGTGTAGTGCAGCAGAACTACAATTATCTACCAACAAAATGGCCAAAAGATATTCTGCTCAGAGTCTTGGAGCTAATAATGGATGAGAGTGAGTGGAATGCTTTAGAACAGTGTTTCTCAAACTTTTTCATACCAAGGACCACTTAACCAATAAAAAAACACTCGCGGACCACCTAACTCCACAAATATCCCAAAACACATCGTTTTTCTAGAACAGATTATAAATCGCCTGGAAATGGTGCAAACAAGTGGCAACATGTGTGACGAAGGTGTTGTGCTGGGCTTTATCATGCAATATAAAGTGAAACTTAAGCTCGTTCCATTGCGGAGATATTCCCGCGAGAGTGCGGAAAACTTAAATGTATTTATTTATTTCAAATGTGAAATGTTACCAATATACTCACGGACCTATAGGGGGCGCTCACGGACCACAAGTGGTCCGCGTACCATACTTTGAGAAGCACTGCTTTAGAAGAACACGGTGAAGTGGGACAGGAAGACATTTCTGAAGATGAGGATAATGTGGAGGTAAACTCAGAATTTGACAGCAAATTGGAAGATGAACTTGACTCAGAGCCAGCTGCTGGAAGACCCCCACAGCCAGCCGCAAGAAGACCCCCACAGTCAGCTTCTGGAAGACCCCCAAAGGACTCAAAGACACAGACTACATGCAGCAACTGCAACAAGTACATCTGTGCTATACACACGAAGAAGTTCTGCACATCATGTGTTTCCTAAACGGACTTGCCCATTGACTCACATGATGTTCTGCAGCGTCACTTCATCAATATAGTTTTTCGGATATACTGTATTTTATGTGACTGTTTATGTGACTGTTAATTGTTTTAATTTGCTTTGTGTTTATATCTGTTCTATGTAATTTATATGGATGTTTCATTCCCTCTATATTTCACAGCCAAATACTTTTGGATGTGGTTCTTGTGTTCCAATTGCTGCTAAATTGCTTTATTTCCTTCAGGGCTTTGATTATTATATGACAGATTAAAAATAAACATGAATGAAAACACTTTTCATTTGTCCTAGAAAAGCATGAGCAAAATGTAAACTTAGTTTTTATTACAGTGTATTTTTTTTAACATAAATGAAATTTTTATCACAAAAAACGATGGACACTTCCATTGTTACATTTGATCTAGCAAAGAGTATTTTCAAAAACTAATCATATATTTCATTTATATTGTTGGGATGATATATATATATATATATATATATATATATATATATATATATATATAAGGAATTGTGCATGTTGAATTTAGTTCTGCATTTTCTTTTAAACCTTGAAATATGTCCCGGGTCAATTTGACCCGAACATTACCAAAGGGTGCGAAATGTGAACATAACACAAGGGATAAACGAGTCTCCAAATGTCCTTCACATGTGTAAATACAAGAATATCAATAAAGGGATTCTCAAAATTGTTCCGTGTAAGATATTTATTTCAACAATTAGAGAGAAAACATTCAACTGGTCAGTTTGTAAGAAATCCTTTACAGAGAACTCAGACTGTACTCATATAGCACTTTGTCCAGTCGCTACGTCCTCCTTCACCATCTTCCTGCTGCCTTCAACGCACTGCACCTGAGAATACAAAGAAACTACATTTAGTGAAATTCAAACACTTGTTCTGAGGTCATTATTTAAGATCTGATCTCAGTCCCATATCCGCGAGTTTCATCCAACAGTCCTCTTGTTTTAAATTCATCATAGATCAGGAATGTATGAAATGATGCAGACAAATCTCCTTACATACCTCACAGCAGGAACATGGAGCCTATTTAGTCATCTCCTTATTCCTCTCTGCATCAGTGTTATCCAACAGCTGAAGAAAGAGAGACAGCAATTAGAGCAGAAATGCATTGCTTTATTAGCTCTGTGATTCAGTCTGAAGGGTCCTTCCCTTAGTGTGGCTCAGTTATCTAAGTTGTCTCAATCAGATCTAATCAGTGAGGGCAAGTTTGTCATCACAGCCACTTTATATATTTGAAATATAACTCCGAGGTACCTGCATGTGACTTCTTCATGTTTCGTCTTTTCATCTTCATTAGCCGCGTTCACACCGGAGTACTTTTCCCTGTACTTTTCGCGTTTAGTTCCGTTAGTGCCCCTTATGTGGCGTTCACACCAAAAATAGTACTTAGTGCCGGGAACTTTTACCCCCATTTTTAGTGCCTGCTGAGAGCAGGTACTTTCCTGGGGGAAAGTGCCCCAGTTCTGATTGGCTGGGCGAATCGCAAACCACTCCCCGTAAAACTCTGAAATGTTTTGTAGAGCCGCCATTTTATTATCCTCGCATTAGCACAGCGCACAAACAGAGAGACTAACTTATGGCAACACAAAATAAAACATGGGAGCGGTGGAGATGAGGAGGTGTCGGCGTTCTAGCGATTTACTCTGAAGGCTTCAGTAGAAGCTGCTGGGAGTCCCCGCAGCTTCTACTGAAGCCGGTCCCCAACGCCGGGGACTTCGGGCGGCAGTATACGCCGTGAAGTGGTTTGCGGCCTGCCAGTAAACCCAAAGCAGAAGAAGACGAAGTGACGTCAGCGGTTTCATTTGCGTAATCTTCCGCCAGGGAACTTATTCCGGTGTGAACGCGATCTGTACTTAGTGCCCTGGGGTAATAAGTGCCAGGGCACTAAGTGCCGGCACCAAGTATGGCAAAGTACTTGGCGTGAACGTGGCTAATGTTACAAAAGACCCGCAGAAAGATGGAGCACAGCAATTAGCACAGAAGAGATTTTAAACACATGAAGCTTATGATTTAGTCCCAAATGTCCTTCCCCTTAATGTTGCTGAAACAGTTATATTTAAACTGATCAGCGACCGTCGGTGGAAGTCTTCTTCTCGGCATCCAGTTGACCGCTCTAAGCTACAGTAGAGCCTGAACGGCTTCGATAGGAGCCTGATGTATACCATTTAGTCTAGACAGGAATACAAATATACCTGCTTTCTGTGCAGACATCCATGGTTGCAGAGCCCAGGAGGTAGAGCTCCTATTTTGGGTTCAACCTGTAGCAAGACAGATGAGAAAGACAGATGAGAAAGTCAGTGCATGCTCTGTGCTGAAAAGGGAATAGTCAGAATACTAGCGAGCATTGTAGCACATTGAGTCAGACGCTTGTTTTAAGAGTGCAAAAAAAGGCAGACATAAGACTTTTGTTTTACACCCATTACTTTGCTACTTAAGATTATTGTATATCACTTGTTAAGTGCACAGACGGTGTTATTATTATTATTATAATACACCTGGGCAGGTGAGGTAATTAGAGTCCTCGTTAATGAGCAGCCATCAGACTAGGGTGATAGATGAGAGGTCCTCACGGCCCGGAGGCTGCGGCATCTATATGTCATCATGTGGCTCACACACATATATTGCTCTTGCCATATCTGAAGACATGATGACAAAGACTTGAAACTCAGGGGAGGTTTTCAAATATTTCCAAATAATGACTTTTGGACTTTATATTAAAAAGTTTAGCATGAGGTTAGCTTGTTAGCTTAGCATTACCTGACATAGTCCTGGATGTTCCTAGTGAGCGGTCCGGATGTTCAGCTTCTCAAAGTTCTGCAGGAGACAATCATCAGTTTAAAAAGAGCCTCTGCAGGTGAGATCTACCTGTGATTGTTTATTCAGGATCACATGCCTACACCAGTCATTGAAATGAGGGTTAACACTGTTGTCAATATTGTCTCTTAAACTTAAATTAACAGTCAATAAGTCTTCAAATCTAAGAGGATAATGGAGTTAAAGATATCATTTAATAAACTGTACAAACATTATATTGTGTCCTCAGAGAGCATCAGCACAGCATGAGCTGACTGAGTCGCTCCGAGCTGAGAGATTCTGTAGCAGAGCGACTCCCCCCGAGAGCACGGCAGCGCAGGGGGGGATAACTGTCTGCAGCACCTGTAGCCCCTCCCCTCAGCACCTGTAGCCCCTCCCCTCAGCACCTGTAGCCCCTCAGTACCTGTAATCCGTCCTTCCAGGCGGTGGGCGTGCTGCCGTTGGCTTTCCCGTGTTTGTCGAGCAGTCCTTTCTGGATCATCATCTTCTTCTGACTCGCCTGATCAGGGAAAGAATAACTTTATTAACACAGAACTTAACATCAACACAGATAACTTGAACACCACAGAACAGGTAAAGAGGAAACAGATTGTACCTCGGGGCCCAGCCCCCACTTTCGGGGGAGGCGTCTCTCTCCATGATGACCCTCTTGATCTTAGCGACCACGCCATGGTCCCGGGTGGAGATCACCGCCGTGGTCATCAGAGCCACGCCTGCACACAGACAGTGTTATTATTATTACACACCTGGGCAGGTGAGGTAATTAGAGTCCTCGTTAACGAGCAGCCATCAGACTAGGGTGATAGATGAGAGGTCCTCACGGCCCGGAGGCTGCGGCATCTATATGTCATCATGTGGCTCACACACTCACACAATGCGGAGACACACACCTGTGCAGATGGCCTTCCCCCCCCCCCCTTGGTGGTGATGACCACGATGTCGGTTCATCTCGATGGCGTCCTCGTACCTGAGCACACCAGCCTCTTGTAGGACACCAGCAGCTTCTCCAGGGGGAAGATGACTCCTCAGGTACTTCTCGTCTTTGTTGGGGTCAAACTGACACTGAGCGTCCAGGACATCGTGCATCGTCACCAGGTGATCCTACACACACACATATTGTGAGGGGGGGGAGGACAGTATATGAAATACATATAACATTAATGCTTTGATGTCAGCAGTGAGGGGGGCACAGTATATTAATGCTTACACCATTAATATTATTTGAGGGAGGTTAGTCTGACGCTGATCGCCCATTCATTTTATAATCTCACCCAGCCTCCTCTGTATAGTTATTATATATAATAGTTATTGTGATCATAGCCATTGAAATATTACTGAGGAAGTACCTGCATGTGACTTCTTCATGTTTCGCCTTTTCATCTTCAATGTTACTAAAGACCTGCAGAAAGATGGAGCACAGTAATTAGTACAGAAGACATTTTAAACACATGAAGCTTATGATTTAGTCCCAAATGTCCTTCCCCTTAATGTTGCTGAAACAGTTAATATTTAAACTGATCAGCGACCGTCGGTGGAAGTCTTCTTCTCGGCATCCAGTTGACCGCTCTAAGCTACAGTAGAGCCTGAACGGCTTCGATAGGAGCCTGATGTATACTATTTAGTCTAGACAGAGATAAAAACATACCTGCTTTCTGTGCAGACATCCATGGTTGCAGAGCCCAGGAGGTAGAGCTCCTATTTCAGGTTCAACCTGTAGCAAGACATATGAGAAAGTCAGATGAGAAAGTCAGTGCATGCTCTGTGCTGAAAAGGGTAATAGTCAGAATACTAGTGAGCATTGTCACAGTAGCTTTTGCGCAAAACAAAAAGCCAGATTTAAGAGCATCGTTCCATATTTACTAAACGAGGTTTTTGCGAATACAAATGTATTTGTTCAGTCAAGCCCGTGTGTTGAACTGCCGCAGAAAAACATAATACAGAAAGCATTTGCAGTATAAGTTGAGCAGTACATTGACACGTGGTTCACATGTGATAGCGTTAAGCTAACCTCAAGCTAAGCAATTATACCCTAGCATCATCATATCTTGAGTTGTTATATTACAAAATAAGACAGCGCAATGTTTGGTAAAATACAACTACATTAACATGACATTATAGCTATTAGCTTAAGCTAACTGAACCACGTGATAACAGTTACTAAGCTACATAAGCTAACGTTAGCTCGTTGGTTTCAGCATGTTAGCCAGTCATTTAAATGAGGGTCAACACTGCAAATATTGTCTCTTAAACTTAAATTAACTGTCAATAAAAGTCTTAAATGATATCACTCCATTATCCTCTTAGATTTTAATAAACTGTACAAACATTATATTGTGTCCTCAGAGAGCATCAGCACAGCATGAGCTGACTGAGTCGCTGAGAGATTCTGTAGCAGAGCGACTCCCCCCGAGAGCACGGCAGCGCAGGGGGGGATAACTGTCTGCAGCACCTGTAGCCCCTCCCCTCAGCACCTGTAGCCCCTCAGTACCTGTAATCCGTGTATCCGTCCTTCCAGGCGGTGGGCGTGCTGCCGTTGGCTTTCCCGTGTTTGTCGAGCAGTCCTTTCTGGATCATCATCTTCTTCTGACTTGCCTGATCAGGGAAAGAATAACTTTATTAACACAGAACTTAACATCAACACAGATAACTTGAACACCACAGAACAGGTAAAGAGGAAACCGATCGTACCTCGGGGCCCAGCCCCCACTTTCGGGGGAGGCGTCTCTCTCCATGATGACCCTCATGATCTTAGCGACCACGCCGTGGTCCCGGGTGGAGATCACCGCCGTGGTCATCAGCGCCACGCCTGCACACAGACAGTGTTATTATTATTATACACCTGGGCAGGTGAGGTAATTAGAGTCCTCGTTAACGAGCAGCCATCAGACTAGGGTGATAGATGAGAGGTCCTCACGGCCCGGAGGCTGCGGCATCTATATGTCATCATGTGGCTCACACACATATATTGCTCTTGCCATATCTGAAGACATGATGACAAAGACTTGAAACTCAGGGGAGGTTTTCAAATATTTCCAAATAATGACTTTTGGACTTTATATTAAAAAGTTTAGCATGAGGTTAGCTTGTTAGCTTAGCATTACCTGACATAGTCCTGGATGGTCCTAGTGAGCGGTCCGGATGTTCAGCTTCTCAAATTCTGCAGGAGACAATCATCAGTTTAAAAAGAGCCTCTGCAGGTGAGATCTACCTGTGATTGTTTATTCAGGATCACATGCCTACACCAGAAGCCCCGCCCCCCTCTACAGACCCCTTTGTGCTGTTATTCAGGTTCACATGCCTACACCAGAAGCCCCGCCCCCCCCCCCCCCCCCCCCTCTACAGACCCCTTTGTGCTGTTATTCAGGTTCACATGCCTACACCAGAAGCCCCCTCTATATATATATATATATATATCCCCTCTATGCTGTTATTGACGAGTCTCAGCTGTGATCAGCGCAGTCAACTCGTCTTTGCGGCGCTCGGGTCGAGTCGTCTCTCCTCGTGGATCCGGGTCGACCCGGCAGAACGCAGAGTCAATGACATCACCACGAGGAGAGGCCCCGCCCCCAGAACGAGAGCGGGGGGGTGACTGCAACAAGATGGCCGCTCAGCGAATGGATAAACAGCTTCATCATTTCACAGATCAAATTATGCACAGACAAATCTCCGTACGCAGCGTCCACACGGCAGCGTGCGTTGAAGCTTGCCGGTGGGCGTGTCTGAAACTCGACCAACAACCAATCACATGAATCTCCCGCCCCGGACACACAAGCACGCGGTTTGATTGGCTAGAGCTTGTACTGGCATATGATTTGATTGGCTGACGCCTCCACTGAAGCTTCAAAAGTTGAACTTCTCAACTTTCGAAGAGAAGCGTCGGAACCAAAATGCAGTTCGGCAAACGTCACCCCATTCAAAGTGAATGGGAAGCTGCGTTGAAGATTCAACGCACGCTGCCGTGTGGACGGGCCGTTACATACCTCACAGCAGGAACATGGAGCCTCTGGATCCCAAAGACATCGGATTAGATCTCATGGGCAGATTGATGCCTGCAGGAAGAGAACAGCATTAAAAGAACTGTGGTTGAGCAGTAAGCATTTCTACATAATGACGTGAGGATCTGTTGGACAGTTGAGTGGCTGCTGATGGCATAAGAGGCCAGAACAGTCAAAGACCGACCTTTTATCTGGCATGCACTTGGAGAACCCTAGAGCTACAAACAAGCCCCGGTCCTTAGGATAGCATGCTGCGAATAGCTCATTTTAGACAAGATATTTTAAATTACCTTGAAGTGAGACATCCTCATGAAGTCACGGCAGCATCAGGATCAGTGCCTAGTGCTCAGCCATCATGGTCACCTTAACAAAGATACAGAAACTGAGTTTAAATGAAACACCTTTTATTTAAAGTGGCTCAGTTGTTAGCAAAAGTGGCTCAGTTATCTAAGTTGTCTCAATCAGATCATATCAGTGAGGGCAAGTTTGTCATCACAGCCAGAAATCATCAGTATTTAAGGTGTAGATTAAAAACATACCTGCAGGTGATTTAGTCATCTTCTTATTTCATCCATGGTTGCAGAGCCCAGGAGGTAGAGCTCCTATTTCAGGTTCAACCTGTAGAAAGACGGATGAGAAAGTCACTGCCTGCTCTGGGCTGAAGAGGGTAATAGTCAGAGTACTAGTGAGCATTGTCACAGTAGCTTTTGTGCGAAACAAAAAGCCAGATTTAAGAGCATCGTTCCATATTTACTAAACGGGGTTTTTGCTAATACAAATGTATTTGTTCAGTCAAGCCCGTGTGTTGAACTGCCGCAGAAAAACATAATACAGAAAGCATTTGCAGTATAAATTGAGCAGTACAATGACACGTGGTTCACATGTGATAGCGTTAAGCTAACCTCAAGCTAAGCAATTATACCCTAGCATCATCATATCTTGAGTTGTTATATTACAAAATAAGACAGCGCAATGTTTGGTAAAATACAACTACATTAACATGACATTATAGCTATTAGCTTAAGCTAACTGAACCACGTGATAACAGTTACTAAGCTACATAAGCTAACGTTAGCTCGTTGGTTTCAGCATGTTAGCCAGTCATTGAAATGAGGGTCAACACTGCAAATATTGTCTCTTAAACTTAAATTAACTGTCAATAAAAGTCTTAAATGATATCTTTAACTCCATTATCCTCTTAGATTTTAATAAACTGTACAAACATTATATTGTGTCCTCAGAGAGCATCAGCACAGCATGAGCTGACTGAGTCGCTCCGAGCTGAGAGATTCTGTAGCAGAGCGACTCCCCCCGAGAGCACGGCAGCGCAGGGGGGGATAACTGTCTGCAGCACCTGTAGCCCCTCCCCTCAGCACCTGTAGCCCCTCAGTACCTGTAATCCGTGTATCCGTCCTTCCAGGCGGTGGGCGTGCTGCCGTTGGCTTTCCCGTGTTTGTCGAGCAGTCCTTTCTGGATCATCATCTTCTTCTGACTCGCCTGATCAGGGAAAGAATAACTTTATTAACACAGAACTTAACATCAACACAGATAACTTGAACACCACAGAACAGGTAAAGAGGAAACCGATCGTACCTCGGGGCCCAGCCCCCACTTTCGGGGGAGGCGTCTCTCTCCATGATGACCCTCTTGATCTTAGCGACCACGCCATGGTCCCGGGTGGAGATCACCGCCGTGGTCATCAGAGCCACGCCTGCACACAGACAGTGTTATTATTATACACCTGGGCAGGTGAGGTAATTAGAGTCCTCGTTAACGAGCAGCCATCAGACTAGGGTGATAGATGAGAGGTCCTCACGGCCCGGAGGCTGCGGCATCTATATGTCATCATGTGGCTCACACACTCGCACAACGCGGAGACACACGTGCAGATGGCCTTCCCCCCCCCTTGGTGGTGATGACCACGATGTCCTGGTTCATCTCGATGGCTTCCTCGTACCTGAGCACACCAGCCTCTTGTAGGACACCAGCAGCTTCTCCAGGGGGAAGATGACTCCTCATGTACGTCTCGTCTTTGTTGGGGTCAAACTGACACTGAGCGTCCAGGACATCGTGCATCGTCACCAGGTGATCCTACACACACACATATTGTGAGGGGGGGAGGACAGTATATGAAATACATATAACATTAATGTTTTGATGTCAGCAGTGAGAGGGGCACAGTATATTAATGTCATATAATATTAATGCTTACACCATTAATATTATTTGAGGGAGGTTAGTCTGACGCTGATCGCCCATTCATTTTATAATCTCACCCAGCCTCCTCTGTATAGTTATTATATATAATAGTTATTGTGATCATAGCCATTGAAATATAACTCAGGAAGTACCTGCATGTGACTTCTTCATGTTTCGCCTTTTCATCTTCAATGTTACTAAAGACCTGCAGAAAGATGGAGCACAGTAATTAGCACAGAAGACATTTTAAACACATAAAGCTTATGATTTAGTCCCAAATGTCCTTCCCCTTAATGTTGCTGAAACAGTTAATATTTAAACTGATCAGCGACCGTCGGTGGAAGTCTTCTTCTCGGCATCCAGTTGACCGCTCTAAGCTACAGAAGAGCCTGAACGGCTTCGATAGGAGCCTGATGTATACCATTTAGTCTAGACAGAGATAAAAACATACCTGCTTTCTGTGCAGACATCCATGGTTGCAGAGCCCAGGAGGTAGAGCTCCTATTTCAGGTTCAACCTGTAGCAAGACAGATGAGAAAGTCAGTGCATGCTCTGTGCTGAAAAGGGTAATAGTCAGAATACTAGTGAGCATTGTCACAGTAGCTTTTGTGCAAAACAAAAAGCCAGATTTAAGAGTATCGTTCCATATTTACTAAACGAGGTTTTTGCTAATACAAATGTATTTGTTCAGTCAAGCCCGTGAGTTGAACTGCCGCAGAAAAACATAACGCAGAAAGCATTTGCAGTATAAGTTGAGCAGTACATTGACACGTGGTTCACATGTGATAGCGTTAAGCTAACCTCAAGCTAAGCAATTATACCCTAGCATCATCATATCTTGAGTTGTTATATTACAAAATAAGACAGCGCAATGTTTGGTAAAATACAACTACATTAACATGACATTATAGCTATTAGCTTAAGCTAACTGAACCACGTGATAACAGTTACTAAGCTACATAAGCTAACGTTAGCTCGTTGGTTTCAGCATGTTAGCCAGTCATTGAAATGAGGGTCAACACTGCAAATATTGTCTCTTAAACTTAAATTAACTGTCAATAAAAGTCTTAAATGATATCACTCCATTATCCTCTTAGATTTTAATAAACTGTACAAACATTATATTGTGTCCTCAGAGAGCATCATCACAGCATGAGCTGACTGAGTCGCTCCGAGCTGAGAGATTCTGTAGCAGAGCGACTCCCCCCGAGAGCACGGCAGCGCAGGGGGGGATAACTGTCTGCAGCACCTGTAGCCCCTCAGTACCTGTAATCCGTGTATCCGTCCTTCCAGGCGGTGGGCGTGCTGCCGTTGGCTTTCCCGTGTTTGTCGAGCAGTCCTTTCTGGATCATCATCTTCTTCTGACTCGCCTGATCAGGGAAAGAATAACTTTATTAACACAGAACTTAACATCAACACAGATAACTTGAACACCACAGAACAGGTAAAGAGGAAACAGATCGTACCTCGGGGCCCAGCCCCCACTTTCGGGGGAGGCGTCTCTCTCCATGATGACCCTCATGATCTTAGCGACCACGCCATGGTCCCGGGTGGAGATCACCGCCGTGGTCATCAGAGCCACGCCTGCACACAGACAGTGTTATTATTATACACCTGGGCAGGTGAGGTAATTAGAGTCCTCGTTAATGAGCAGCCATCAGACTAGGGTGATAGATGAGAGGTCCTCACGGCCCGGAGGCTGCGGCATCTATATGTCATCATGTGGCTCACACACATATATTGCTCTTGCCATATCTGAAGACATGATGACAAAGACTTGAAACTCAGGGGAGGTTTTCAAATATTTCCAAATAATGACTTTTGGACTTTATATTAAAAAGTTTAGCATGAGGTTAGCTTGTTAGCTTAGCATTACCTGACATAGTCCTGGATGTTCCTAGTGAGCGGTCCGGATGTTCAGCTTCTCAAAGTTCTGCAGGAGACAATCATCAGTTTAAAAAGAGCCTCTGCAGGTGAGATCTACCTGTGATTGTTTATTCAGGATCACATGCCTACACCAGAAGCCCCACCCCCCCCCCCTCTACAGACCCCTTTGTGCTGTTATTCAGGTTCACATGCCTACACCAGAAGCCCCACCCCCCCCTCTACAGACCCCTTTGTGCTGTTATTCAGGTTCACATGCCTACACCAGAAGCCCCCTCTCTATATATATATCCCCTCTATGCTGTTATTGACGAGTCTCAGCTGTGATCAGCGCAGTCAACTCGTCTTTGCGGCGCTCGGGTCGAGTCGTCTCTCCTCGTGGATCCGGGTCGACCCGGCAGAACGCAGAGTCAATGACATCACCACGAGGAGAGGCCCCGCCCCCAGAACGAGAGCGGGGGGGTGACTGCAACAAGATGGCCGCTCAGCGAATGGATAAACAGCTTCATCATTTCACAGATCAAATTATGCACAGACAAATCTCCGTACGCAGCGTCCACACGGCAGCGTGCGTTGAAGCTTGCCGGTGGGCGTGTCTGAAACTCGACCAACAACCAATCACATGAATCTCCCGCCCCGGACACACAAGCACGCGGTTTGATTGGCTAGAGCTTGTACTGGCATATGATTTGATTGGCTGACACTTCCACTGAAGCTTCAAAAGTTGAACTTCTCAACTTTCAAAGAGAAGCGTCGGAACCAAAATGCAGTTCGGCAAACGTCACCCCATTCAAAGTGAATGGGAAGCTGCGTTGAAGATTCAACGCACGCTGCCGTGTGGACGGGCCGTTACATACCTCACAGCAGGAACATGGAGCCTCTGGATCCCAAAGACATCGGATTAGATCTCATGGGCAGATTGATGCCTGCAGGAAGAGAACAACATTAAAAGAACTGTGGTTGAGCAGTAAGCATTTCTACATAATGACGTGAGGATCTGTTGGACAGTTGAGTGGCTGCTGATGGCATAAGAGGCCAGAACAGTCAAAGACCGACCTTTTATCTGGCATGCACTTGGAGAACCCTAGAGCTACAGACAAGCCCCGGTCCTTAGGATAGCATGCTGCGAATAGCTCATTTTAGACAAGATATTTTAAATTACCTTGAAGTGAGACATCCTCATGAAGTCACGGCAGCATCAGGATCAGTGCCTAGTGCTCAGCCATCATGGTCACCTTAACAAAGATACAGAAACTGAGTTTAAATGAAACACCTTTTATTTAAAGTGGCTCAGTTGTTAGCAAAAGTGGCTCAGTTATCTAAGTTGTCTCAATCAGATCATATCAGTGAGGGCAAGTTTGTCATCACAGCCAGAAATCATCAGTATTTAAGGTGTAGATTAAAAACATACCTGCAGGTGATTTAGTCATCTTCTTATTTCATCCATGGTTGCAGAGCCCAGGAGGTAGAGCTCCTATTTCAGGTTCAACCTGTAGAAAGACGGATGAGAAAGTCACTGCCTGCTCTGTGCTGAAGAGGGTAATACTCAGAGTACTAGTGTGCATTGTAGCACATTGTCACAGTAGCTTTTGTGCAAAACAAAAAGCCAGATTTAAGAGCATCGTTCCATATTTACTAAACAAGGTTTTTGCTAATACAAAATGTATTTGTTCAGTCAAGCCCGTGTGTTGAACTGCCGCAGAAAAACATAATGCAGAAAGCATTTGCAGTATAAGTTGAGCAGTACATTGACACGTGGTTCACATGTGATAGCGTTAAGCTAACCTCAAGCTAAGCAATTATACCCTAGCATCATCATATCTTGAGTTGTTATAGTAGAAAAGAAGACGGCGCAATGTTTGGTAAAATACAACTACTTTAACATGACATTATAGCTATTAGCTTAAGCTAACTGAACCACGTGATAACAGTTACTAAGCTACATAAGCTAACGTTAGCTCGTTGGTTTCAGCATGTTAGCCAGTCATTGAAATGAGGGTCAACACTGCAAATATTGTCTCTTAAACTTAAATTAACTGTCAATAAAAGTCTTAAATGATATCACTCCATTATCCTCTTAGAATTTAATAAACTGTATAAACATTATATTGTGTCCTCAGAGAGCATCAGCACAGCATGAGCTGACTGAGTCGCTCCGAGCTGAGAGATTCTGTAGCAGAGCGACTCCCCCCGAGAGCACGGCAGCGCAGGGGGGGATAACTGTCTGCAGCACCTGTAGCCCCTCAGCACCTGTAGGCCCTCAGTACCTGTAATCCGTGTATCCGTCCTTCCAGGCGGTGGGCGTGCTGCCGTTGGCTTTCCCGTGTTTGTCGAGCAGTCCTTTCTGGATCATCATCTTCTTCTGACTCGCCTGATCAGGGAAAGAATAACTTTATTAACACAGAACTTAACATCAACACAGATAACTTGAACACCACAGAACAGGTAAAGAGGAAACAGATCGTACCTCGGGGCCCAGCCCCCACTTTCGGGGGAGGCGTCTCTCTCCATGATGACCCTCTTGATCTTAGCGACCACGCCGTGGTCCCGGGTGGAGATCACCGCCGTGGTCATCAGAGCCACGCCTGCACACAGACAGTGTTATTATTATTACACACCTGGGCAGGTGAGGTAATTAGAGTCCTCGTTAACGAGCAGCCATCAGACTAGGGTGATAGATGAGAGGTCCTCACGGCCCGGAGGCTGCGGCATCTATATGTCATCATGTGGCTCACACACTCGCACAACGTGGAGACACACGTGCAGATGACCTTCCCCCCCCCCCCCCCCCCCTTGGTGGTGATGACCACGATGTCCTGGTTCATCTCGATGGCGTCCTCGTACCTGAGCACACCAGCCTCTTGTAGGACACCAGCAGCTTCTCCAGGGGGAAGATGACTCCTCATGTACGTCTCGTCTTTGTTGGGGTCAAACTGACACTGAGCGTCCAGGACATCGTGCATCGTCACCAGGTGATCCTACACACACACATACATATTGTGAGGGGGGGGGGGGAGGACAGTATATGAAATACATATAACATTAATGTTTTGATGTCAGCAGTGAGGGGGGCACAGTATATTAATGTCATATAATATTAATGCTGTCACCATTAATATTATTTGAGGGAGGTTAGTCTGACGCTGATCGCCCATTCATTTTATAATCTCACCCAGCCTCCTCTGTATAGTTATTATATATAATAGTTATTGTGATCATAGCCATTGAAATATTACTCAGGAAGTACCTGCATGTGACTTCTTCATGTTTCGCCTTTTCATCTTCAATGTTACTAAAGACCTGCAGAAAGATGGAGCACAGTAATTAGCACAGAAGACATTTTAAACACATGAAGCTTATGATTTAGTCCCAAATGTCCTTCCCCTTAATGTTGCTGAAACAGTTAATATTTAAACTGATCAGCGACCGTCGGTGGAAGTCTTCTTCTCGGCATCCAGTTGACCGCTCTAAGCTACAGAAGAGCCTGAACGGCTTCGATAGGAGCCTGATGTATACTATTTAGTCTAGACAGAGATAAAAACATACCTGCTTTCTGTGCAGACATCCATGGTTGCAGAGCCCAGGAGGTAGAGCTCCTATTTCAGGTTCAACCTGTAGAAAGACAGATGAGAAAGTCAGATGAGAAAGTCAGTGCATGCTCTGTGCTGAAAAGGGTAATAGTCACAATACTAGTGAGCATTGTCACAGTAGCTTTTGTGCGAAACAAAAAGCCAGATTTAAGAGTATCGTTCCATATTTACTAAACGAGGTTTTTGCTAATACAAATGTATTTGTTCAGCCAAGCCCGTGTGTTGAACTGCCGCAGAAAAACATAATGCAGAAAGCATTTGCAGTATAAGTTGAGCAGTACAATGACACGTGGTTCACATGTGATAGCGTTAAGCTAACCTCAAGCTAAGCAATTATACCCTAGCATCATCATATCTTGAGTTGTTATATTACAAAATAAGACAGCGCAATGTTTGGTAAAATACAACTACTTTAACATGACATTATAGCTATTAGCTTAAGCTAACTGAACCACGTGATAACAGTTACTAAGCAGCTAACGTTAGCTCGTTGGTTTCAGCATGTTAGCCAGTCATTGACAAGATAAAATACTCCTTTTCAGTTCACCATAAGCTAAATATAGCAACTATACACTTTTGTAACAATAAGAATGTTTGTATCTTACTGGAGGTTATGCTCTTCTTTCTCCTTCGGAAGGCTTGAAGCAGACAGCGACTGAAGAGGGTCCCGGTCGTCCAGTGGCGAGCCGTGAATTGTATACCTAGGCCCTCTGACCCAACCCCTTCCGTCGAAAAGAAAAAGTTATTACGTCACAGCGTATACTTCAGCGGAATATCAAAACGGCCCGGGGTGCAAAACGCATCAATGAAAGGGACCCTCTGAAGACCACCCTTGAATGATGGGATAGTAGCCTAAAAGCTTTAGGAATCCAAAGCATAACATAAGTAACCTGTATCAAGATTGAGGCAAAACAAGTGACATTTGACATTTTTAGAGGGGTTTAAAAAACTTAAAGTTGGCCACATTTGGATATCATCAGTGCCATTTTAACTTTTTTTTTTAAAAAGGTACCAGACTGTAAAAATCATATTACATTGAATTATCACTATAGGTATTCATTCCATCCAAATACAAGTGTTTTAAAAATATATATATTAATGTTTTGTGTGTGTTGACTTTGCCACACTCCTTACATCACCCGACTGACACTTCTAGAAACGATATGCGTCACATATTCACAGAATGTAGAGCATTTTCTTTGTAGCCTGGACCTACATTAAAACTGCAGTTTCCTCTTTGCATGAGATGCATGTTTACTTACACAATACAAATTAGGAAACATTTGACTCCAACTGGAGCAGATTTATTTCAAACATTTTACCAACGATACATTACCACACTAGGTCAATAAAAACAAGCATTTTACCAACACACTGTACAATAAAATTACACTCTAGGTAGGTAAAAGAACAAGCATTTTGTTTTGTAATAAACACTCGCAAAACTTTATACATCCTGAATGTTACAGTATTTAGTCATGCCACTCCTTGTGACAGTTATTTTTGACAGTGAAGCACAGAGGGACCTGGCACTTACGAACAGTGCACACGGTACACAGGTGTCTTCACCCTTTTGTTTCTAGCATCTTGGCACCTCCTGGCCATCGGTGGCAATCCTGGTCCCGTTCTCCTGTAGCAGCTCCACATTCTAAAAACGCGGAGTCCCTCCACCTTGATTTTTTTTGTCATGGAAAGAAGCTACAGAACATAAACATACAATTTAGTCATTGTTGCGAGATGTTTAGTAAAATACTAGCCATATAGGGCGCATGAGTAAAACACTGAGTACTTTACTCACCTCTACCTCCGTGAAGGCTGTGAAGTGGAAGGAGAAACCGTGGTTCGGGGCATTTTTGCCACGCAGATGGCTCACCTGAATGAACATCTGTTATGGGAACCAGATTGGACTCCCTCCAGAGGCAAACCTGGATCTCCCCCTCATCCTGCAAAAACAGAACGGGCTACATAAGTAGTGCTTAGTCACAGGTACAATGTGATTTAGGGAAGACACTTCCCAAAGCATTTCAATGGAGTGATAAAATAAATGTTTTTACAGAGTATAAATCAGTTGTTGGACATCATTTTCACTTTTCCCTACCTCCTTTAGTGTCACTGGTAGTTCTGAGCCCATCTGATGTTTTAGAATTGGCTCAATCTAAATGTTGCAGGTAAAGGGGGAACACATTATTATTCACATGTCTCTGGAATTATAACTTATACAATGTTTCTTTGGTGTAATAACATGCATGTTTATGTAAACCTTAATACACTATATTCTAGTTGAGTATGTAGGACTCAGTGCTTTGTGTGCAATTACAACTTGACCTTTTGTTTCAGTTGTCTGTGCAACATAGAATGATATTTTCAAAGCACTTCATGGTAAGTTACATTACATCAATGTTTTCAAATTGTTGATGTATGATTGTTACTGGCTTAAAACATTGTAAATCTGAGTATAACGTACCTCGTTGATGAACCCTTGAACTGTCACTAATTGCTCAATGCCTGTGGTCAGATCCAGAACTGGCACCAGGGTGGAGGGAGGTGTCAGGAGGGCCTTGCCTTCCTCCTCCAAATGGCCTGGAGCGGGACACACATGTACATGGCTGTGTTTTTTCTGCTGAGCATGGATTTGGTATGACCAAATTTGCTCATGCCATAATTCCTTACAGTGTAAGTTTGGCCCTTGTTTATTTGCTGGAGTGTGACGAAGGTAACTTCAGGCTAATGATTGTGTGCACCTGGTGTCCTGTGTTGTCTCCTCCCCCCTCACCTGTGTCTTGTTGTGTTGATTAGAGTGGGTGTATTTAGGGTCTGTTGCCCTGTCTGTTTTGGAGGCTGGTAGGGTGTGTGAGATCCTTGTGGCTGCAGGATGTGTGCAAGGAGAACAGCAGGATTGAGGCTGTGAACTTTGTGCACATGATATTAATAAATGCCCACGTCGGGTTATATTTTTGGAAGTTCTGCCTCTGCCTCCTTGCTTGGTCTGGGCCGCTCAACGGTCAGCTTCACATGGAGCAAATCTTAAAAAAAAAAAAAACTTCTGTACAGTCGTCTGACCGCAGCTGTTCGGTTTCGATAAACCTGTGTGGCCTTGGCACCCTCTCCATCAAACTCCCACCTTTGTACTTTCGTGGTGTCTTTCACCGCCAGAACCTTCACCTTAATTTGTGGGAGCCTTTCATAAGGCTTAGTGGCCGTTCCAAAGGTTTTGGACGGAGACATTCTGAAAAAACAAGATAATAAGCAACTTATTAATGATTTCATAAAATACCAGAGACACCGTACTATTATTTCATCACATTTAGTTTGGGATTTTAATTGTTCAATTAAAATATACATATGGGACGTGCATTAAACGCATAGTAAAACTGTTCATCATCCTGATAATCAACTACTCTAGTATAATATTGTAAGCCAACATTCAGGTACGATAGGAGGCGCAGTGCATATTTCACGTTGGCTTATAGCCTGCTATTAAACGTAACAAAGGAAGTCCTTCCGTATCCGGCATATCTACGCCCACGCAACGAGGAAAGCTCTTTGATAGTTATGTGTTATGTTAGGAATGGCTTTCCTCAATTGTTCAGGGTTACATGGAGGTGGTCAGCACAGGAAATCAGTGAATAAACATATTGATACATCATTACAACTGAGGACACCCATACAGCCGTAAGACATTGCATTATGCTACTAAAGTTTTGCAGAAAGACTTCTAGAGTGCACTTTTTACACAAATTGTATTTTAGTCAAGTTGCATTACTTATATGAAATACATTGGCTCAAGGAGCTTTTAACATGACATGTTATTGTTGGTCAGTTCCTCAATTAGTTTAATGTTAGTTTCCTTGTGTTTGTCCAACTAGTTCATCAGATGTTCTTACCGGACAGGCATGGAGAAAGTGTTGATGTCCTTGTCCAGCTGGTCCAACAGAGCAATGGACAGGATGATCATGTTGTCCACTCTGTTGATGTTGAACTTTAGATCTGGAGTAGCTGTGGCCCAGACCCAGCTGTGCCTTGGAAGCAGCCAGGCCAGTGTGACCCTTCACCAGCGAGTGGAAGTGCAGACCTACAGGGCAGACAACAGATTAGATGCGTTGAGTTCAGTGGAAGAACAGCATGTGACCAGCGCCTGTTCAGATTTTCAGTATGAACCTTGATGAGTTTCAGGGTTAAGAAAATGACATCACAACAGGAGTAAAACACTGACACCTCTGCCACCACCCCTCCAGTCTGGATGGACACAGTAAACTCTTCTTGTAAAGATGCTCCGACCTTGGAATCTGAAACCCCCAACACGGCTTTCTTCTTCCCAGAGGGGCAGGTTTGTCTCTAGGAACAACTTCAGGTCACCATGAACCACACCTGCAAGGGAAGGAGGAAGATTACTTATTGGTCTGTAGAGACTTGGTTAAAATTACTCTTGAAACCTGCAGAAAAGCCATTTGAAAGATGCAACACATCATACGTGGATCTGCCAGAAAATCCTTTATTGTTCTGTTTATGATGGGCTACTGCTAATATGTGAAGGTTAACAATTGATTTGGATTAAACCTCCATTATAAAATGCTGAAAATGTCAGAACACATGCATTTCAAAAGGCTTTCCTCAGTTGTTCAGGGTTAAAAGGAGGTTGTCAGCACAGGAAATCAGTGGATAAACATATTGATACATCATTACAACTGAGGACACAAATTCAGCCAAAAAGGAAATTATCTTGCCTTCAGAAATTGCATTCATGTTCTCCAGAGCACCCTGCGCCGACTTGAAGGGGAAGAAGGCAGCGAGGCTCACCATGCTGTTAAACTTGGCAATGCTCAGCACGCTGGCTTCAACCTGGAAAAACACAAAGATAAAGTTACTACCACAGTCTATGGTTACTACCTGTGATCCAGTCAGAACATATCAATTGTCACATTAAAAAGGCGCGGAGGAAAGACAAACCTGAGGCAGCAGCATGCCGATCACGTGGTTCTCGCGGTAAACTAACCTTAAACTTAGCAATTATACCCTAGCATCATCATATCTTCAGGTGTTTCATTGCATAATAAGGCAGCGCAATGTTTGGTAAAACACAACTACATTAAAATGCCATTATAGCTATTAACTTAAGCTAACTGAACCACGTGATAGCAGCTACTAGCTACATAAGCTAACGTTAGCTCGTTGGTTTCAGCATGTCAGCCAGTAATTGACATGATAAAACACTTATTTTCAGTTCACTATAAGCTAAATATAGCAACTATACACTTTTGTGACATTAAATAAGATTATTTTAAGTTTACCGGAGGTTATGCTCTTCTTTGTCCTCCTGAAGCAGAAAGAGACTGAAGGGAGGGTCCTGTCCATTGAGATAGAATATAATCTGATGAACATAAAACAATGAAGCTCAATATAGAGTCATACAGGTTGAAGCTAAACTAACAACCAATCACAGGTACGGTATTTTCCTCCAGAACATGACTCAGCCAATCTGGAGCCAGTGAAATACCACGAGGCTGTTTTCAATAACTATCAAGATTATTACCATCACCTGTTTGTCTCCTCTGTCCTCAGTGGGTTCCTCGAGGGTTCGGTTGTCTGTTATTGTTATTGTGTCATCTCCACTGCTACCCACTCCATTCTGACAAACTGCATCACTGAAATAAAATCCTGGCTCCAACTTAACTTCCTGAAACTCAACTGCGATAAATCTGAAATAATAATCATTGGACAAAACAGGGTCGGCGTCATGGGGGGTCATTCGCGGGCCATGCCCCCCCCAAATGAGTCACTGTGCCCCCCCCAACGCAGGGTTGGCAAGCCTTGCCACTTTGCCGTTTTTTTCTTTTTTTAATCATATAAGTGAAAACGTTTCCACTAAAGGTTTTTTGTGTGAAATACATCAGAAATAAAGAACACAAATATAAAACACAGCCTGAGGTGTGCTCACTGCTGCTCTCTGATTGGTGTGTTGCTTGACCAATGACCCCCGACCTTTTTTTTGTTATCATTACGTGGCTGAGTGTTTAGATGAAAGCCCAGTGGCGATCTGTTCATCTGTTACACTGATTATACAGTAAAGCCATCAAAAATAATATGATATACAGTACAGTACAAGTACATGGGTCTCTGTGTTTCATTCAAGCTCGGCTCTGTGTGGCACGAGCGCATTTTGTGAGTGCGCGAGTGGTAACGTGGAATGTTGTTAGCATCTGGTTAGCTAGCTATGCTAACGGATATAAAGGGCTGTTTCTACACCAAGGTGGAGGACAGTCCTCTCCTGTCAGACTGAGAGGATCGTATAACCTCAGCTCAGTGAGGTAAGGACTCTCTCAGTGTTTAGATAGTTCACTTTAGTGTAAGTTATCTCAGTGGGTCTCAAACGGTTTGGTCACCATTTATGTAAGTATTTTCGAGGAATACCTTTATATGATCATTATAGTTGTTAAAGAGAGAATACATGAGAAACGGGTATGAAATACTATTGGACAGTAACACAAGAATACAGTTTAAAAGGGGAATGATTAGTAAAATATCCATAAAGAAAAAGTAAATCTGTGTACAGTTGTGTTTCATCTGGATGCTGAGAGATGTAGGCTATCCATAGATCTCTTCATTTTGCTCTCAAAGTGCACCAGATTGATGCATTTAACTTCAATATTTTTAAAATAATCTTCCCGGGGGAGCTTGCCCCCAGACCCTCCTAGAGGTTAGGTCCACTCCCACCTAAAACATGTTCACATGGATAGGATACTAAATACATTTGCATACTTTTTATATGGTGGCCTATGTTCATATCAAATCAAATCAAGTTTTATTTATATAGCACATTTTTCAACGATTTTTGGTCGAGCCAAAGTGCTGTACATATAATAAAAAATAACCTACAGTAAAGACACTTTACAACAAATACAACAGCACAGTTTGTGCAGAATATCAGTATGAGAAAACGACACCCTCTGTCCTTATATGTTTCTGTTTTGGTGGTCGTGCCACAACCGTGCATGTATGCACAAGTCATAGGTGCACTATACAATAGCACTACACCCCTGCAATGTGTGTGAAAGACAATAGACTTTACAGCATGTTTTTTTAATTGAAGTTGCGTTGGTGTTTGTGTGTTGGTTGTTGACGGCAGTGTGTGCCCCCCCTTGGTAAATTATTGCCCCCCCATTCGATTTGTTCTAGAGCCGACCCTGGGACAAAACAAGCTCACCACACCTATCCATAACTTCACCCTCAACATAGACGGCTTCCCAGTTCAAACCTCCCCTCACATCCGGAACCTAGGCATCATATTTGACCAAACCCTCTCCTACAACAAATACATCAAACAGATCACAAAGACAGCCTTCTTCCACCTCAAAAACATCGCCCGTCTACGTCCATCCCTCTCTCCCACTGCTGCCGAAACCCTCATCCACGCCTTCATCACCTCCCGTCTGGACTATTGCAACAGCCTCCTCTACGGTTCACCTGCAAAAATCCTCAAAAAACTTCAATATATCCAGAACTCCGCCGCCCGTCTACTCACCCACACCCGAATCCCTGAACACATTACACCCGTCCTCATCAAGCTCCACTGGCTCCCCATCCCCCAGAGAATTCAGTGCAAAACCCTCCTAATGACATACAAAGCCCTCCATGACCTGACCCCACCCTACCCGACTGACCTCCTCCACAGACACACACTCCCACTCGCTCCCTCCGCTCTGCTGCTGCCAACCTCCTGCCCCCCCCCCCCCCCACCCGGACCAACCTCAAGTCCTGGGGCGATAGAGCCTTCTCCGTTGCTGCACCCACCCTCTGGAACTCACTACCCCAATCCATCAGAGATTCTTCCTCCCTCACAGCATTCAAAACATCACTCAAAACCCACCTGTTCAACACTGCATTCAATCACTGACCACCCCCCCCCCGTATTTTCTGTTCTGTTTATCTCTTTTTGTATTTCTTTGTATCTATTTTTTTGTTTTCTCTTGTCTTTTTTTCTCCTCTTAATTCTCTGTCAAAGCGTCTTTGAGTTTCAGAAAAGCGCTATAAAAGTCCCATGTATTATTATTATTATTATTATTACTCAAGTGCCTTTTCCAGATACGAGTTTTCTCATTTATATTTCTACTTAACTACATCATAAAGGGGAACATACCTTTTACTACACTACATTTCTGACCGCTTTGATACTTTAGTGCCAATCCAGTGAAATCAATGTGCAGTATATTTCTAATTGGGTGGTTTTATGTCTGTGATAAACTAAATGATGAAGTGTTCCATTATGGGGCATTAAGGGGTATTAAGGGACATTCTGATCAAAGCTTTAAATGTCTTCCTTGCAAATATCTGTTCTGATCTGAGTGCAGATTATCTAATAACAACATTGCTTTCTTATTAGCTGTCTGAACATCAAGCAGAATACAATCCTTGTTATGCTCTGAGGACATATGTATTTTCCTTAGGCTCTTTTGCACTGAAGAAAGTTTTTACTTTTAAATTAGAAACAAGTAAAAAATGGGTATTTGGGTGCAGTCTGTGCAACGGACCTATCATTAAGTTGAGATTCTATTTCTTTCCTGCACTGACTGAAACTTTATCTGCTGCTATATATTAGTTTAAGGTAGCCCCCATGTGCTATGGAAGAAATACAATTTTCTATAGGTGATTTCCGTAGGTATGTAATAATTGTGCAGAACACTGCCCAAACACTGGGGTGACCTACACTATGAGGAGTAAGAGATGGTATATCAAGTGTTCTCACTGCGTCTTAGTTAAAGCACACGTTACAGTTTTTCTCGATTGCTAAAACACTAAAATTATACATAAAGCACAATTATTTTAACTGACACTCAAAGAGCAAAACATCGGCTCAAATCTCCAAAACTCTAAACATGTTTTCAGCTTTTCACACAATTTGAAAATCAACATGGCGCTTTTTGCAAACCACTGCACACGTTTCTCCACGTGAGACACAGGAATCTGACATGAAGTCACGTGTGAGCAGGTTTAAAACACTGATATTCAAAATGCCTCACAAATGGACCAATGATCAAGAAACACGTTCCACCTGACCAAACACCTGATAGCATAACTGTTAGCTCATCAATCAGGATGTTAGCACTATAAAAAGACCACAGGTGAGTACTTTCTTACAGCATCAATGGAAGCCAACAAGAGGAGAGGAGGAGGAAGTACTCTCTAATGAAATCAACCATGGTTTGACGAGGAGAGAGGCTGGACGGAGGGTTCAGCCTAATCTAAGCCGATGTACTGTCGCCTCTGTAATCCGGACACTTAGACTTGAAAACAGGTTAGTTACCAGTTTGTAGCTCTGCATAACTCATGATATCTCAGAGCTTATATCTGTTGTGTGAAACGTATTTAAAATCATTACTGTAATTGAATTGTTGGCATGTTGCATACTATAACTGTACACAAATCCTGCACAATGTACTGTGGTAACTTACTTTTATGCAACACACACACTGACCAACCACTATGTCTTTGTTGTTTATCTGAAGGACTGAGAAACAAAGAGGTGGAAGGCCAAGGATGTTCAATGAGGCACAGGAAGCAGCAGTTACAAACAGGGTTTTGGCAAACAATGCCATCACACTTAGAGAGATCCGAAGCATAGTAGCTGTGTGCTGAGATGCATGTTGCACGATGTTAACTCATTGGTATTTCTTCATTTACTGTATTTCTGTAAACTCAAGCAATCTTTCTCTGCAGAAACCTCTCTGTACAGAGCACAGCCCATAACAGATGAAAGTGCTTTAGATCAATGCTTCTCAAACTTTTTTCAGTACCCCCTGTGAAACATTTTCTCAGCCAAGTACCCCCTGACCGACCCGGGACATTTTTGATAGAAAAAGCCTATATACATAATTACAATATAATGATGTTCCATCAGTGTGTGATTTATTAACTCCTTCATGAATTACAACAAACTAAGGATATTTTCATCTTTATGCGTGAATGAGTCCGGCAGTGGCTCAGTCAGTAGGGGCTTGGACTGTGAGCCGTGGGGTCGTCGGTTCAAGTCCCCGACTAGACCTAAATATGGAGTGTGGATTGCTACTTGGAGAGGTCCCAGTTCACCTCCTGCCCTGCCGTGGTGCCCTTGAGCAAGGCATCGGACAACCCCCTACCCCCCTCACTCCCATTGCTCCCCGGGCGCTGTCCAATAGCTGCCCACTGCTCCTAGTACTAGACTCCTGGTACTAGGATGGGTTCAAAGCAGAGAACAAATGTCACTGTGTGCTCTGCACGTGTGACCATTGAAGAGGGTTTCATCGCTCTCTATTCTATCTAATATAATATAGCGAAAACAAATTAAAACAGATTTTTCCAAGGAGTTTGGTTTTGGAACCCCCTTAGTGGTTTTGGAACCCCCTTAGTGGTTCTAGGAATATTTTATATTAAATTGTGTTTTCTATTTCACTTATTGTACTAAGATTATTTTTGTAATCATGCATGGTATTTTTTTAATGCAGTACCCCTAGGGGTCCGCGTACCCCCATTTGAGAATCACTGCTTTAGATGATGCTCAGCAGTGTGTAGTTGGGTGGTCAAACAATCTAGTATTATGAACGAAGTGTGTTATATTTGGTGCAAAAGTTTGCATTTGGAAAGTGTTTATGTAGTTTTGAGTGCAATTCTTCATTTAGCAAGAAAAATGAGGAGTTTTGCACTTTGGGTGTGTGGCTTTGTGAATTGTGTTTAGTGTTCTGAGAAACTGAGCAATTTAAAAAAGAATGTGTGTTAGCAATCGAGAAAAACTGTAACAGCAACTTGAGACAACTTGACTTGATCACATTGTATATATGCTACTGCTGAACCAATATCTTTAAGTAACATTATGAGGGCAATCAAAAGACAAAACACTGTTATAAAAAACGTTATTATTTACAAGTGGTTTAACAAATACAAAGATTAGTATTAGTATGGTAACATGAAGAAAGAAACATTAAGAAAATATATTATAAACAAAATATGGAATGTGTTTGGTCTTCTGATTAGTAAGATGTTAGAAAAATAGAAAATTAAGAAAAATAGGCTGGGGGTGGCATATCGGCGGCGGTAACTGCATCAGGCATTGAAGCTTCTCAGGAAGGAATCCCCACGGAGGCACATCCCATAGTGTGACATGGAAGCACATGCTATGAAAAAGAAAATGTATCAAAAAATTATCAAACCACAATATATCATTTAAAACCATCAAAAGTAAGCATGCATAATTTGTAATGTGTTTGTGTGTGGCACTAACCTCTAATTGAGAGCGCAACAATAGTTAATACCAACAATAATATTGGTAACATGACAATGTAATGACTCCTTGAAGAACCTCCACAGACAACATCGCTGCTCCTGCTTCCTTCTTTCACCTTTACCTGGGTTCCTGAGCACCTGGGAAAAGAGAAATGAAAAACAGATTCAGTACTTTGTGTTTGAAATGAAACTTGAAAAATATATACAATACTGTGCAAAAGCTTTAGGCAGGTGTGAAAAAATGCTGTAAACTAAGAATGCTTTCAAAAATATAAATTGTAAATCTTTATTTGTTATCAATTCACAAAATGCAAAGTGAACGAATAATTTTTTTTTTTTAAATCAAATCAATATGTGGTTTTACTACCCTTTGCTTTCAAACCGGCATCAATTCCTACAGGTACACTTGCACAAAGTCAGGGATTATGTAGGATTACAGTAAGGGGTATGATCAACCAATTATACCGAACAGGGGCTAATGATCATCAGTTTTACATGTAGGTTTAGGCCGGAGCCACACGGAGACGATAACGAAAACTAACCGAATTCGATTCAAAAAAGTCTTCCGTCCACATGAGACAGCTCGACCCGCTGGAGACGCTGTAGTACATATGCCGGGCCTGTAAGTGGCGCTGTACTTCCGCCACAAAATACACCAAAAGCAGCGAAGAAGAACCCGAGCATGGTTGCCCTTCTGTTTATGCCCCGCGGTAGATTCAGCAACATGTAGTTCATGTAGCTCTTCATGTCCACTTGTTGCTGATGGTTGTGGTAGAGGAGCTGTAGATTTTGCACTAACATCTGTAGCATGGTCAGTAGCTACTGACCATGCTACAGCAGTGAGCAGCAGAGGTTGGGAGAGGCGGGGCTATGGCTTCATCGTTATCAGGAAATTATCGTATAGGGCAGAGCCGTTTGCCCCCCAGAGCGTTTCGTCCGCAGATTTACCCACATTGGGAACCGTTATCGTGTGGCCGAACCGCCTATAAGAGAGAGAACTGTAGCGGATACGACCCGTTTCGTCTTTGTGTGGCTGCAGCCTTAAACACAGTCATTCACTGAAACAGAAACAGCTTTGTAGGAGGCTTACAACTGGGTGAGGAACATCCAAACTCTGCTACCAAGGTGAGTTTGTGGAAGATAGCCAAAAAGGCAGTTTGTTCACAAAAGGGCTGGCGAAAATGTATTCTGCAGCAGGACAACGACCCAAAACATACAGCCAATGTCATTAAGAACTATCTTCAGCATGAAGAAGAACAAAAAGTCCTGGAAGTGGTGGTATGGTCTCCACAGAGCCCTGATCTCATCATCGAGTCTGTCTGGGACTACATGAAGAGACAGAGGGATTTGAGGAAGCCTATCCACAAAAGATCTGCGGTTAGTTCTCCAAGATGTTTGGAACAACCAACCAGTTTTTTTCACACCTGCCTAAAACTTTGACACAGTTTATACTTTATAATGATGTTAAAAGTACAGAGAAGGACACTGATGAAAAACAAATCAATATTAAAATGCAAACATTTGGAAAAGGTCTATTGAGAGTTATGTTGACCAAATCAAATAAAACTGGAGGATTGGCAATGTTTGAATCTCCTGTGGATGGGAAAGATTGGTCCATCACACATACAAATAAAGCCACACATCACAACTTTTTTGGAGCAATTATTGCAGAAACAAAGTGGTCGTTTCATGCTGCAGGGCAGGAAGAGCCCTACTTGTTTTAGTAATGCCATAACAACCAAAGCCTTACGTTGTCCAGTCCGTGCAATTCACACCATGCTCTGAAAAGAAGCCAGACTGACAGGGTTCACACTGTGCATCCAATCTGCTGGTTCCTTAGAGACAGGGATACAGGAGAGATTAGTCACACAGCAGCCAACATCCAGTAATGATCCATCATCACATCAGTGTCTTCATTTAGTGTTTTTACGTTCACATTGCAGGAGATCAGTCCTCTGTCTAAAAGTTCATTCAGGAAATGAACACAATACATCTCCAGTCATAATTTTAAGATGAGAGTAATTTGAGGGTTGTCTTTCAGGATGGTTACTGAAACGTACGAGGAGGTCATCATATCTGTTTCAGAAACCCTCAGGTGATAGCTGCAGGAGTCATAAAGACACTAGGAGGGGTTCCTGTTTACTGCCTGTCATGGGAGCTTCTGCACCTCGGGTTATAGTCTGATCAAAAGTGATGTATTCGAGGGAATTATTATCTGATACTTTGTGTAATGTAAAAATTAAGATTTACATCAAGATCAACTTTGAGTAACCCCTGAGGGGAAGTTTACACACACACACACACACACACACACACACACACACACACACACACACACACACACACACCACACACACACACACACACACACACACACACACACACACACACACACACACACACACACACACACACACACACACACACACACACACACACACACACACACACACCTAAAGACAGGCAGAGCAGGGAGAGCCAAGGGGCTTACAACCTGTGTTCCAGGTTCGCTGGGGGTTCAGTGGCTCGAGGACACCTCTGCAGTGCCCAGGAGGCTGCTGGCACCTCTCCAGCTACTCTCCAAATACACTCCATCTTTTTGGTCCATGCAGGACTTGAACCGGCGACCCTTTGGCTTCTCAAGCCAAGTCCCTACAGACTGAGCCACCCCATGAGTAAAACCAGGATAAGCCTCAGACCAGGACTTCAGTGTGCATGGAAACTGTCAGGAGAGTGTGACCTGCATTTTACTTACCAGGTTCTTTTATCTTCTCACCAGGTACACATTGTGTATGTGTTTGTGCCGCACTGCATCCTGTCACATCTAAATCTTTGCAGAAATACCCATCTTTAACTTCACAGACTGTGTCAGTTGTTTCTGAACAGCCCTGCAGGACAAAGAGACCGGGGCCTTAAGAAACAAACAGATTGAAACAGTCAATGTATGCAAACCTAACAAATATAAAAAATTCAACTCACACATCTTGACTTCATTTAAAAAATGTTGATATATATAAAAAAATGTTTAATTAAATGTTAAAGCAGGATATAAGAGAATTGTGGATGGAATATAATAGACGTCTCATTAAATGCACTTCCAAAAAAGTGAAAGAGCCTGTTATATTTCAGTCCAATCATTTGTCATCGAGCGACAGTTTATCAGAAAATGATGATGAGTTCAATGGACTTGGAGTTTTAGAAAAACATATTTAGATGAAGTCTACATTTATTATTATTGGTCTATCTTGAATATGACTTTTAATGTAACAAAGTCCAAAGACACACTGTTACTGTCATAAAAGATTACAAAGACATAATCATAATAACACATTAAAGACATACCTGAGTCACAGGAGGTGCATTTGAAACATTCATCGAGTCTGTTGGATTGGTTCATAAAAGTCCTGTTCTCGCAGCCCCTGCAGAGTGTGCCTGTATCTGACGTGCAGTCCATCTGTACAAAGGTCCCTGTTCAACACACAACCACTCTGTCAGCATCTCAACATCAAGACATGAAGGCAAATTACAATTACAAAATGAAGATTAGAGTCAGTAACAATAAGTGTATCCCGTTTCAGGTCTCTGATGGAGCACTTCAGGGAGCAAAGCCAACTTCAGCTATCCCAGTTCAATTCATATTTTAAAATGCTCTTATACTTACTTCTGATGTTTGAATACTTGTTACATGTATTACCTTACCTATTTTGCACATCGGACAACATCGCCCAGCTCTTGTAGAATATTCCTTCGACAGACAGGAGCCTGAAGCCACAAAGATCTTACACCCTGTTGAGAAACAGCAGTTCATTGTAGTATGAGTCTGCGCTGTACATTCACATAATAGTGATGTGCCACTTTGCAATGTATCGCATACCTGTGATATGATATGGTATAATACAGGACGCCATTAGTAAACTCCACCGTTTTTTATTGAAATTTGCGCCACATTTACTAACTACTATTGTAAGAGCCATTTTAATGAGAGTTCATGTTTGGGTTTTAAGCTGTCACAATTGGGTGTTATTCACTGTTTGTGCCAGAGGGTGCCGCTGTACGATTCCCTATGGCACAGGTATTTAAGGTTGGTTTTGTCACGGGATTGGGTGTAAATAATCCACAAAGGCAGGACAGTCAAAAGAAGCAACAAGGAAGAACAAGACTAAGATTAGGACATACAAGACTGAACAAAACATTACATTTAGTAGGAAAACATCCATACGGATTATGTGAACATTGCCTGGTCGAAGAAACGGTAGAACATGTTATTCTGTATTACAGATACAGACAAGCAAGACAAACTATAAAAGACAGAAATCAGGAAGCTTGGAGTGGAACAGCCAACACTCAAAGAGATATTTGGTCAGGGAGACTTTTAAATCATCGAAGACGAACTGAATTAATAAATGAGAATTTAACATTTAATTTGTCTTTCTTCTCTTTTTTGGGATACATAATTCTGGTCCACACTCCAATACGGTAGGTGGCGGCCACCCGCCATAAAACCGGAAGAAAAAAATAGAAGAAGGTTTGGGTGTGTCTGACCCATGTACCCACGGCGGCTGCAGAGTATTTTTGTTGGGTAATCTATGGTAGGGCTAACCCATGCAGTGGTGGGGCTCAAGTCAGTATTTGCAATGTAATTACATACACGCTATATCGCCCCCTTGACAACAGGTGTGAGTTAAACCAGTGTTTCTCAACTGGTCTGCTTCAGGACCCACTTTTTTCCTTCGTCAATAAATCGCTACCCAAAGATATAATACCAAAAAAAGTGCAGTAATGCTTCTCAGCATCCACTTTTAAGTAAAGGGAAGTACAGTGCATACATTTTCAGTAAATGTAGTCCATGGGAATAAACCCACATCCTCAACATTGTTTGTGCCATGCAAGGCAGATTATATCCCTTCACAGAACTACAGTATGCTTTTTAAACAAGTTTAAACTGATGATGGTCATCAAGTTTCTAGAATCCAAATTGAACTGTATGAAATAAAAAGGCACATTTGTCTTGTAGTAAATAAAAAGGGCGACCTGGAGCCAATCCTGCAATTTCTCCACAGGTGAAAGAGTTGACATGCTGAAAACCCAACTGGAAGTAACGGTATTTCAATGTTTCTGTATGTATAACACATGTGGAACATTTGACACTAAAGTTGACTTTAGCTAAATCTGTAATAAACATTTAGTTTTGTTCACAAAAATATTTATACAAATGTATCGGTGGAGTATAACAAACAGGAGACTATACCGATTGTAAGTCGCTTTGGATGAAAGCGTCAGCTAAATGTAATGTAATATTAATGTGTGTAGTGAGTTTGGTAGTAATAAACTGTATAATAGTAAAATTATTGAAGATGATGCCATGTTTATTGAAGATTTGACATTATAAATATTCACCAAAATTATTCAAAAGCACATTCTTCCAAACTCTCTGCTGTAATATGACCACCAGAAGACTATTGATGTGTGTAGTGAGTTTGGTAGCACTCCACTGTATAAAAGTGACGTTATTGAAGATTATACCATATTTATATGGGATTCTCCCCCCAGGAGATTTTTTGAAATACTAACATAAAATACACATTCTGGTGAAGAATGTTGAGAAGAGAAATAAATACATCTATTACTACACGACATATTTAAAAAGATGAATGCCATTTTAGTTTTTTGTTACTTTGTTCTGAAAGCTGAGCCTGCTGCTCCTCAGAGAGAAGAGGCTGTGAATTACTTTGTGGATAAGGGTGATAGCCCCCATTGTTCTGTGTGTCACACACCTATCAATCATCAAACCGTGGGGTCTTATTTCATTACGTGTTGATTTCTACTGTATTAGTAATCTACACACTTTGTATACTGCAGGGTAGCTTGTGAATCTACTCCAGGTGTAACTAAAGTCTGATTTAAGACTTGATTATATTTCACATCATCAATCCAGATCTGTAAAGTAACTAAAGGTATACATGTAGTATGGAGTACAAAAACACAATTTACCTCTAAACTAGTGGGGTAGAAGTACAAATTAGTTACAAAATGCAGTAGGGCCTGGCTCATTTCGTGGCATCTGCAGGCATGCCACAGATGCCACAACTTGCCGAGGCATCTGCCGTGCGTTGTCTTCTTCGGTAAGAGAAGCTTTACGGTAGCTGCCACTCGCCTTCCGTGGCAAACGCTGCTATTTAAACCCGTATTTATCGTGTCAAATGTCGCTGTTTAGGCATGACTTTATCGAACTGATCTGTACACAGGACTGATGTGCGATCTCTATTTTTCAAAAAAGATTATACATTATCATTTCTATTCTAACAATTTTACTTGGAACATGGTTTGCTAAAATAAACAAACGTGCTCGAGGGGAGTTTCCACTGCTTGCTAGTTGAGTAAAGTAAAACGATATTGGCAGATTCGGATTTCACGGATCAATAACTCATGAACAAAACGTTATTCAAACACAAATTACGTCTCCTATGTACCGTGGTAAGGTTGACAACGAACTACAATCACATGTTGATCAAAAAAAGCCAATATGCGCCGTCCTCCGAGCTGGACACATTAAAATCGTCTCTTTCAACAGCCGGAGAAGAAACGAGTGCTCAGGGACCGTCTGCAAAGTGCAACTCCGAAAAAAGAGAATACAATAATATTCAATCACGTTACTACAGTATATTACTACCAAACTCACTACACACATCAATAGTCTTCTGGTGGTCAGACTACAGCAGAGAGTTTGGAAGAATGTGCTTTTGAATAATTTTGGTGAATATTTATAATGTAAAATCTTCAATAAACATGGCATCATCTTCCATAATTTTACCATTATACAGTTTATTACTACCAAACTCACTACACACATTAATATTACATTTAGCTGACACTTTCATCCAAAGCGACTTACAATCGGTATAGTCTCCTGTTTGTTATACTCCACCGATACATTTGTATAAATATTTTTGTGAACAAAACTAAATGTTTATTACAGATTTAGCCAAAGTTGAAGTTAAAGTCAACTTTAGTGTCAAATGTTCCACGTTATACATACAGAAACATTGAAATACCGTTACTTACAGTCCCACAGCGTGAACAAAAACTATATATATATAAACAAATGAAGAAAGTTCTAGCTAAACAAGGGTATAAAAGTAAGTGATAAATATATATAAAAAACACAATCAACAAGAAACATAAATTGGACATTAGTGCAAGTACTTCTTAGTGCAAGAAATTAGGACTAGAAATGAAGCCTAATCGTGAAAACATCTTCAGGTGCAGGTGATGTACACGATAATATACTTTACTTTTTATTTCCCCTCTAAAGATCAGCTGCCACACTTAAAAAGAAAACAAATTGGTCCATGGCAAAAGGGTGAAGTTTATTTTAGAATATGTAACACTTATGTTTACATATTCCCTAATTTTGTCAGGTCACATTTGATCTATATGATGGAGTCATTGGATTTGTCAATATAAGAAATGTGCACTGGAAGTTTGTGGTGAGTCTACTCGTGTAGTCATACTGTAGCTGCTTTTACAGCATGTATGTTTTGCTCAGGGTTTGCACATTTCAAGTTAATCAACTATTACTTTGAAGATGTATGATTACATTTATTCAAATGCATACAACTAAATATATATACATTGCTATTAAAAAATATTGTAATACATTACTCATATACTGACAGAGTTAAGACTAAAATGTGTATCTCATGCAGCCCCATTTTGTAAATGCATATTTGCCTCAGGATTGATTTAAAGATGCTTATTTTAGTTGTAATGTCTTCATGTTCTTCATCTATATCATAGGGAAACAATATAAAATGTAGTCCAAAATAAGTACTCATTCAAACATTTCTCATTGGTGGTCGCTACTGCTCCACTAAAGATGTGAGTCTTCTGTCCCCAAATTGTGCAACTTTCTTTCATCTGATCTGACATCTTTAATTATTTCAATACTTTTAAGTCTTAATTTATACCCATTTAAAATGGGTAGTTATTATTTTACAGGGTTCCTGCAGGTTAGGCCAACTCAAATGTAAGACTTTTTAAGACCTTTTTAAGACCACTTTCAATAGAATTTAAGACCTATTTCACGGAAAGAAAGTATGAAGGAAAATTGCTATGAAAGAAGAAATACGTCCCATAATTACTTACAAAGTAAATGTATTCATGTTCAACATAAGAACAATGACTGAACATAACAGCATAGAAATGTGTTAGCGTGTTAGACAAAAAGTGTGTATGTGTGTGTGTCTCTGTGTGTGGTTGTGTGTGTGTGTTAGGGCTGTACAATTAATCATATTTTAATCGCAATTACGATTTTGGCCTGCCACAATTATGAAAACAACATAATCGAAAAAAACTATTATTTAGCTTTGCTAGGTTGTGACAGTGCACTACAACATATTTGATCTAATTCATTTTAGTCTAATTTATTATATATGTTTAGTAGCTTGTGGAAGTGCGCTCCAAAATATGTGTTGATCTTGTTTATTGGTATTTATTATTTTTGATATTATTTATTTATATTATTCAATTAATAATTATTTATTATTTAATTTATTTTTCTATTGGTTTTTCAGTTTAATTATACGTTCAGGGTAATCAACAGTTAAAAAGATACTGTTCAAATGATTATTTGTTTTAAAGTTCAATAAATGGATGTTTTCAAAGTCAATGAATAATCGTATTTAATAATCGTGATATGAATTATTGACCAAAATAATCATGATTATGATTTTTGCCACAATCTAGCAGCCCGTGTGTGTGTGTGTGCGTGCGTGTGTATGTGTGTG